TTCGATGGTCCTGTTGTCAATAGGGCAGATACCCTTAATGATACATGCATGAATTGGTGGGTTAGCACACCTAGGACCAAAATGCAGGATAGACTTAATGCTGTACTGCCGGGCTTCATTGCATGGGGATTATGGAAGGCTTATAACGCTGAAAAATACGAGGGAAAGGCCTTCAAAGAAGGGACAATCATCGCTACCACTTTGAAGACAATCCAGCAATGGATATGGATTCATAAGGAGAAGAAATGGATGAATCTGGACGATAAAATGAAATCTTTTGGGTTCTGTTTGTATCGTAGTAGAATTAATCTTCATTGCTTAGATACCTCGTAATTTTCCCGGGTGGGTAGAAGTCATCTACCACATTGCTGTAAACAATTCTCATTATCCATAAATATAAAATTCTTTCTATATATATATATATATATATATATATATATATATATATATATATATATATATATATATATATATATATATATATATATATATATTGGTTCAGGTGAGAATGCAATCTAATGAAAGAAATAAGAATGAATCTGGTGCATTAGATTGGGACATCTAAGGGTTAGGATTGCATCAAAATTAGGTGCACCAAGATGGTTTGAAAATGCATCATGTCGAAATGCACCATAATCCTTTGAAAATGTACTATTTCAAAATTTGAGTGCAGAATGCAATCTGAGCCGCACGATGCATCAGATCCAAAGACCAGATTTTATTCTTATTTCTTTCACCAAGGTGCATTCTCACTTGAACCAGCCCCTATATATATATATATATATGTGTATATATATATATATATATATATATATATATATATATATATATATATATATATATATATATATATATATATATATATATATATATACTCCCTCCGTCCATTTTTAATGTTCGTGCTTTCCTTTTTCGTCCGTACACAAATAAAGTTGTCATTTCCTTTTTTGGAAACTTTTCTTTATTAAAATGACTCAAATACCTTTATCCCTACTTCATATTTTCTTTATTTCTTTTTCTCCTTCTCTCCTTTATTCTCGTTCTTCACCTTTACCCAATCTTCCTCTCTTTTCTTCATCCTCCCCCCTTCCTACTTCATCTCTTTTCTTCCCCGACCCACTTTTTCCTTTCTTTTTTTTTCTTCTTTCATTCTTCTTCTTCTTCTTCTTCTTTTTTCACTATTTTCTTCTTATAGTCATTATATGCTTCATTTTCGCACTGCAAATGCTCAGATCTTTTCATCTACTTTTTCGATTTTACAGATCTGCTCATCCTCCGATTTTACAGATCTACTCATCCTCCGATTTTACATATATGCTCATCCTCCGTCATCATCTACTCAATGGATGGGTATAATCCATGATAATTTAAACAGATCTAGCCCTGGAATGGCAATTGATGGTAATCAATTTTCAATTGCCCGTTTTCGATTAGAACAAATCCATAACCCAATGCATCTCTGCTAGCAGCGCCTTTCTTCTGCCAACGTAAAAAGCTCATGTCTTCGATCTCCTCCGCCACTGTGTTGTCTTCAAAAAGAACATGAAGAAGATATTCATTATTTCCCAGGTTTGCTTCAACGAGAGGATGGTAGCTACTGGAGCCAACGAGGTCATCCGCGGACTGCGGGGGAGTCTACGGTGATTACTGGTGGATGGAGCCCACCCGAGAGGATGGTATTGTTTAGGGGTATAAGTGGAAAGTCAAAGTAACTTTTATCATTCCTTAATATGCGTGCCCGGTCAAACTAGAAACATTAAAAATGGACGGAGTGAGTATATATATATATATATATATATATATATATATATATATATATATATATATATATATATATATATATATATATATATATATATATATATATATATATATATATATATATATATATATATATATATATATATATATATATAGACACACACGCACACCACCAATTTCATTAAAAATATTTTGGTATATTTTTAAAATTCTTTTTTTCAACTCTCCTTAAAAAAATAATAAAAAGTCAATATGAAACATCTTAAGAGGACGTAACATGGAGTACAAAAATAATCATAAACGTACGGAGTACTATATTAATTCACAACGTAAGAGAATCATCCAAGCATCATACTAATCTTAACTACAATAATCACTAACTTAGAGTTTGTTCCCTTCAAACTTACACAACTTTGAATATAACTACAATCGGATTAGATCCGATCAAAATTTATTTTAATCAGATCAAAATCAATGAGATCATGCATGTGAAGAAAACAAAAGGCCTTAACCTCATATTTGATATCACAACCCATATACTCACTATTTATACAAGTCTTGCCTCTGTATCAATCAATGTGCAAAGTCTCAAAACAAGACTTATTCCTTTCAATCTGTAACGAAAAAATAAAATGGAACCAAACATTGTGAAAAGCTTTGGAAAAAATTGAAAAGGAGTAACATTTTTTTCAAGAATCAGTGACCCTGTCACGTAAGAGATGATAGGATATAAACCCGATTCACATTATGAGGTGGATGGCATGCATGCATGCCTCTTCACATACATGATAGTAATCGCGGTTAGTACTGTTTTGGTATCCAGTAGCCAAAGCTTCTTTCAAACCCTAGATATCTCATTGGAAATTGTTAATGTATGTAGTGATAAATATTGATCTAGTCCCTTACAATAATGAAGTCCATTTCAGTTCAAATAGATGAAAGGGAAGGGATGGATGAAGATATTTTGTCACATTCCCTCAAAATCAAACACGCCCAATATTTCTACAGAGCCAGAATGAACATTGTTAAAACACAAGAAAAACATTAAATCACTGAACTAAAACAAAAAAAGGGATTTTACCTCAACGTCAGAAGAGACATCAATATTAGGAATATTATCGGATGCCATCTCCAGTGGAGGTTTGATATTAGGTTTATGAATTTTCTGCAGTTCTCCGGTACCCGATCGAACACGTCAGTCAAGAATTGCGACTTCTCTTTAGAAGAAAAAACAAATAAAAACTACTATTAAAACAATTGAAAGCTTCGATTCCATGTGCAATTAAACGCAAATAAATTACTCTGCCATTTAGAGTAAGAATTGAAGACAATGTGGCCATAATCACAAAAAGAATATACTCTATATAACATTTGAAATTTCAATGTTTCATCAATCACAAGTCGGAGAAAATTATTCAAATCTTTAAATATAATGGCTGGATCAAAATATTAGCTCATAAAAATCATGCTACAGATAAATATAGAAAATCATAAATAAATTACCTGATAATGGCAATGGTTTGTGTAATTGTGTCACTTGCAAAATGCTTTTCTGAGAGCTTACATTTGTTTTTTTTCTTTTCACTACGTCAAAAACAGAGGCTGACAACTGTTTATTTTAGTAGTCTATAATTGATGTTTTCAGTAGTCTTCAGAGCAGCTGTATGATGGGATGCTAGACCTCGGTTTAGAACAATTGTGCAAATCAAAATCTGACACCGGTGTTTTGTAGCTTAACACAACTTTGAACATTTGTTGTCTGCTCGCGATTGAGTCTATGATTTTGGATATACTCAGACAACAGTTTT